AGCAATAGCGTTCATCAGCAGTGTAAGTCATTTACCATCATTGAATATTGGTTCTTCCTTACATATTATATCTGTTGCCACTTCTACTATATAGGTCGAACGTGTGGAGGGTCTTTATAAGTGATAAATAAATATCCTCTGGTGAGATTGGAATATTAGAATATAGTGTGCCATTGTTATAGCTCAGGCCTGACATTTTGACCGTGACCAAATTATAGAAAACTAATAACTGGATGCATCTCCATTTGCAAATGACATGTGCATTTATTTTCTGTTTGAGCTTTCAATTAGTTTAATACGGGACACACACATTTAATTACATATGCACATGCCTTAAATCTTGGTCATAAGTGTGCACAGACAACTGCATTTGTCATTACAATATTTGGAGCGCAACTATCCCGACTACCCTCCCTCACTGCCACCACCACCCTTGGGCTATTCTATGAATTGTCACAAGCCATTTCACGGAATGAATTGTTCTTTTGACATTGCAGTGAATAGTATGGCCTCTAGTGGCTGCGGGTGTAAAGTGAATACTACATGCAAACATATATTCTTGATTGTATGTACGTATGTTGAACTTATTTTGTACCATACGTAGCCAATCATGCTAATTGGAGGCGCGGGACTCGTGTCGGTGTCTGTACAGCAACTATTTTTTGGCTTCCAGCGGTTTTATCCCAAAGAAGCGCCATAGCATATGGGGATGTATTTAGTCTCGGGAAGCATTCACAAAGGACAGAGCTGCAAATTGCAAAATGACAAGCAGAGCAAATATTCAAATGTGGCTGTGAGGTCAGTACCCGGCAGGACTCCTCTTGTGTACACACATTATTGGAGACATCTCTGATGTCTGCTGTAATTAGTGGAAGGCAAATCCTGTAATCTTCTCACAGAACATTGCTAACCGGGCGAATTGCATTTCCATCGCGGGAGACTGTTTATGAAGTATAATGCTATCCCATTGGCTGCACAGTTATGCCTGATAAGTGTCGCGGTCGTGGTTGGGAGTGGAATTGTTGGATTCCTCCACAAATCGAGCGACGTTCACATGCCTTGAGCAAGCGGTGGGGTCTTCTGCATTGTCAAGGGAAGTGTCAGAGCGGTGTTCTTCACGGCAAGGCCCAACTCGGGTCCACTGGCGGCCCCTAGTGGCCTTCAGTGCGGCCCCCTGACGTGGGGTCTCCCCGACAATACACGACACCCCTGGCAGTCGGGTGTGGCGACCCTCAACACATTGACGATGTCTTATCGGCGAAAGTGGCCGCCCGTCTGAAAATGTGTGAAGAACACTCGGGGTTAGATAATTATGATCGATACAGGGGCAACCCACTTTTAGCCTGCCACGAAGCGGTTTCCATTTCATCCGCCTGAGTGGGATGATGGGCTTAGTCAAACAACAACCCGAATAATGACTCACAGTGTTCCACTCGTGGGTTGAGTGCTGCAGCTACAAGCGAATTGATATGGTCCACGAGCACAACTAGAAATTGGATTAACTACATTCTCAGGTTGCTGGGTCCATAGGGCCATCCGCGTGCCTCACTGCCGCTGCCATCCCTCGAAACACACAAAGTAAATTCAAAGGGTAAACATCGCATTAATGGTTGCGTCGTTTACAAGTTGAGCGTGAAATTGCTGCGTGGGCATTCGATTCACGAGCGAGGTATAACAGCACACAAACTGACGAATGAACAATAACGAAACCAATCGTCATGGAATCCAAAAATGGGCGGGTGATGAATTCGCGCAAAAAGGTAACTTCAGCCGTTGAGGCAAGGTGACAACGCCAGTCAAAGTTTGTTCTCCCCGTTGCGATTGCACGTCGCTTCCGCCTGTTGTTGTTGTTCAACACATCGGCGTTAAAAAAAACACGACGCAGCGCAACCTGAAAACGCGATCTGAAAGCCGGACGGCACCACCGGAATAACGTCACGAAGCCGTGTGAGATGTGTGTGTGTGTGAGATGTGTGTGTGAAGTCTGTGGCTTGCCGTCCAAACCCTGGCCCTCGTCATCCGAAGGACACACCAACCTCCGGGGTTTATCCGTGACTTCTCGCTTGAGAGGAATCGCAGTGGGATGAGCGACGGTGATAGAGCAACATTCGGTTGGAACACGCCAATAAACGTGCATCATTATTAGTGTTACCTTTCGTCATGAACGCTTTGGCATGTGGGGCACAAAGCACAACCACCGCTGTTCCTCAAGCGGGCCTCTCTCCTCCTCCTGGTCAATGCCTGTCTCTCGAACCACACAGGGCAAAATGTCAGTTCTCTGTCACGGCTCAATTCGTTTGGAATTCCATTCCCTCCCCTCCCCTCTCACAGCGCCCGCATGTCAGCATCGGTGCGGCCCTTCCGTCGGAATCTTGACGACTCCTCTCGCTCTCTTTACTCCAGTCGCCCACTCCTCTGAACGTCCCTCTTCAACTCTAATTGTGTGTGCGTTACTGTCTTTTATTGTGTACTTATATTTCAAGAGGGGCCCGGTACAGAGCACAAACCGGGGGTACAAAAATCTCAGCGGACACGAGTTCCAAACGCTGTGCACCTGAGTATCGCTAAAGGGGGGATGCGTCCGTTGAAAATGGACTAATACTGCTGTACAAGAACTAAAAACATTTACTTTATAATTGATTATAATCATTGATTATAATCAGCGGTGGATACACCATAGGCCCTTCTACATAGCGGCATAAGAGCGCCCTCCCGATTATACGTGCAAGCATAGAGATGTTTGTGCAAGTGTTGTTGACAACGTCGTTTTTATACTCTTTGGTTCTATTCGGTAAAGTCACGTAGGTAAAAAAATAAAACAAAAATCACGACGTTTCGGCCACAAAACAAGTGGCCTTCTTCAGGTGAAGGGACAGAACTGTCGGGTTCGTAACTTTACCGAATAGAACCAAAGAGTATGGATCCTTGCAGTCACGAAAGCTTAATATCTAGAACGTCGTTTTTAGCTGTTTAAACTAGACTCAGCATTGGCGCGTTGTCTCGTGCAGTCGTGTGCGCGGGAACACTGTGCGAGGAATACGGCTGCGTTTTGCGCACTTTGTTATGAGCCTGTGCAAGCCCAGTCTATTGTTTTGTTAAAGCACATGAGAACTCGGGAGACAAGGATAGCCTAATTTTCACAAGTAACCTTGGGTCTGCCAGTAAGGGGGGGGGGGGGGGGAGGGCGGGGGTTGATGAATGCTATGTTTATAATCCCAATTAAGCAATGAGCGGTGTCATTTTCAAATTATTGGTTATTTTGGTAAAGATACGGAGATAGAAAAATAAATAAATTTAAATAAATTGAAAATAATAAAAGCAAAAAACCCACGACGTTTCGATTGCAACACAAGCGGTCTTCATCAGGCAGAGATTTTAAAAAATGTTTTTCCTATCTACGTGACTTTACCAAAAGAACCATGAATATGAATTCCTGCAGTCACGAAAGTTTTATGTCACTTTCAAATTTGACAAAAGTTGGACCCCTGACGCCGGAAAACCGTGGCCGCCTCTTGCGAATGACATGGGGGGATCTTTCACGTCCACTGCGGAGCAGATGGCGCGTGGCAGTGTTATTATTCCTATTCCGCCCGCAGTATTAATCGGGGCGGCCACTGGAGCCGAACCGCCAACCTCGGCAAACAAGCGACGAATGCGTTGCTACCGGGTGGCGTCACCGCCACGTTATTTATTCTATGTAGGTGTCGAAGCGATAGCGGGGCTTTGATTTATTCAGTTCTGTTTATTTATAGCGGTGCGATGCACGCATCTTGTGCGCGCGGCAGGGTGTTTGTCCCATGTGTACGACCTTAGCTCGCATGTCACACGAGCGATCCTAGCTTCCTAGCGCGCTTCAGCATTCTTAAGCTGCTCATTTTGGTTAAGATCCTGAGCTCTGATCAGATCGTGCCGTGACCAATCTCGTGTCACCGAGTTAACAAGTGCCACACTCAAGTTGCTGCCTCATTCCCAAACGCATTCTCCCTACACTTCGCAGCACCGTCGTAAGATATTGTTTTCGCATCCATTGCGATGAAAGAGTGGCTCGTTGAGCTTTTAGTTCCTCCGAAGCACAACAAGCCTCGTTGTTATCTTCGCGATTGCCTCCCCATGCACTGCAGTAAACCTCTAACGGCACGGCAGCAGACACGCGAAGGCATTTCCCATCAAACAATACGGTTGAGTTTAGACCCAGGTCATCACCTCTCCAGGACCGAAAACAACGAACGCCACTTTGTGGGCAGTCACTAGTCGTTATCCTATAGACACACCGGGCCTCATCGAAGAGAGTGTGGAATTTCCACCGCTGACTTTTGACTGCCATAGGAGACTGGCAAAGCCTCGTACTCACTCTGGCATGGAGTACCTTTGGCTGTTTTAAATTAAAGAAGTTACATATATATGTGAAAATAAAACAATCGTACACGTACATGTTTGACAGCTAGCGCGCATTCGATTTGCTTTCCGATTTTGATTCCTCCCAAGCGTGGGAGGATTGCTGCCTGAGTGAACCTGAGGTCGCTCATCGCCGAGATATATGCACAGCTTGTGCACCAACCATCCTCGGGTGGGGAGGTGCTGGAGGGGGATGAACTCCCCACCCTCTTCTTCTTTGGTTCTTTCGGTAAAGTCACGTAGAATGAGAATAAAATAATAAAATAACACAATAAAATTCTGATGGCACAGCGCCCCCACCCCACCACCCCCCCTCTAAATTCTTGTAGCAAAGGTAGAAAAAAAGTCCGTGCCACATTTAGCAGCAGCAGTGGCGGTTTTTCTTCAAAGCGTACCCGTTTGGAGTTGGAACGTTTATTTAACGTTTATTTAACGTTTGTTTAACATTGGTCGCGTCGTGCCCTCTTGGGTTTCTTGGAAGCCGCAATGCCACACCCCCAACCTCCACCTTTAAACCACAGCCCCCTCCCTCCCCCCTCCCTCCCGCTTCAGGGCTGTCGCTAACGCGCTGTTCTCACGCGTGCCCCCCCCCCCCCCACGTGCAGATATGAGCATGGAGGACGTGCGGGAGTACGAGAGGACCACCCAGGCGGCCACCAACCGGAAGATCGGCATCGTGCCTCCGGCCATCTCCATCTGCGACGCGAGCGCCGGCTCTTCCAGCAGCGGCCGGGGGGGCGGGCCCTCCAGTGCCCCCACCACTCCGCTCACGCTGGACGCTCCCGACTTCCTCGGCCTGCCTCGCGACCGTCCCCGGAAAAGCTCCGCTCCGGAAACCCTCACCTTGCCCCAGCTCCGCGAGAAAAACACCTAGCGGGTGGACACGAGACGCCCGCTGGCTTTTTCCCCTCTCTCTCTCTTCTCCTCCTCCTGTTCCAGGCGAACACCTCGGCGAGCCGCGGAGCCGTCGCGGTGTTTTTATTTTTTTTGGCTCTTCGTCATTTTTTTTTATTTTTAAAATTTCCGTCATCCCCTTCCCCCGCTCGATGCTATTTCTGCTTTGTGCTGCAATCGCTATTGAGGCATGCTCCTCCGCAAGGGAGACGGGTAGCACCCGGCCCCGTTGTCCCCTTTACACATTCTCCCCACTTCCCCCTCGCTCACCTACTTCCGTAGCCAAGAGCGGGAGGTCGAACGTTCGAAACGGTACGTTGCGAGGAGAGCTGTGCGGGCGCCCCTAGGGAGCGCCGTCTTGCTCGCCCGTGAGAGACCGGGGCTCATGTGAGGTTTCGGGACTTTGTAGCAAAGCACGAAAGGTAGCGTTTAAGATAGGCATTGAGGGAAACGGAGTGCCGGTGGTCTATCGACGGAAAACGTTGGTTGGTGCATGCATGAGAAGAACAGGTAGTGTAGTTTGTTGAAAGCCTAGTTAAGGCTTTTGGACTAGATTCGTCATTTTACACTGGTTTGGTCTAGTACTTTCTAATCGTGGCCAAGTAACCAAAACCATTTTGAATAATCCTCAAGTGGAGGCTGAGTATTGTCTTGATTGACAAAGAGAAACTAAAGCTTACGTGCATAATGCAAGCGTTCTAAGTGTTTTGTACATTGTTGAGTGGCATCCCAAGTGTCCATACTGAGTCATTGTTTCCTTCACGTAAAAAAAAAACCCTTGTGTTTTAAGAGCTCCTCGTCCACTTGTTTTCACGCTTCTTGTGCTCATTGGAAAACAGCACGGGCCCAATATCGGCCACTTGAAGGCCACCGCGAGAGAGTTTATTATTTTTTGGAGGACCGCATCACAAAGGGACATTGCTGCTTAGGCATTGATAACAAATCCACCCCCCCCCCCCCCGCGATGCCCTGTTGCCCGCATATTGCGCTGCCGCTGGCGGACGCCACAATCGCTGTGTCCGGGGTAAGCGGCGAGGTGGCCCTGTTGAATAAACTGCAAGCCAATTCAGGACAAAAAAAAAATCCGTGTTAAATATTACAAAACACGCGTGCGTGCGTGCTTCGCGTCGCATGTGGCGTGTTAATCTTTTTTTGCGGAAACGACCAGCAGGGAAAATTGTACCCCACAGAAATGTTGCCCTGATTGATTCTGCGGCTCGGATGATGGACAAGGGAACGGGTGAAGCGAGGAGCGTTTTTTTTTTTTTGTCGAAGAATTGTAATTCATCGGCAGCCTCCCGTGGACCGCTGACCTTTTCTGGAATATTGCGAGTGGTGGCCGATGGGCGTGCTCTAACTGCAAGCCACGGTACAGTGGGTGCCTGCAAAATCCACATGATTGGTGTCCAAAACAGCCATAAACTTCCCCCATTATTATTGCCCTCTCCTGCCATGGATCCACTCAAAATATAATTCTCATTTAATTTGGCTCCAGTTGCCAATGATGGGTCTCCCAAGGTGGATGATTAACCTTGAAATGAGTGCCCGTGACAGGCATGCTTTGGTAGCTCGCTCCGGGCCTTTTGCGCTTTGGCGCAGCCTGCATTTACGCGTTCAACAAATCTCTCACTTGTAAATTTGATAACAAGCGTTGATTGCAAATGTCCACCGATTGGCTGACTGTTGAAAGAGAAAAAAAAATAGGGACTCTGCTCTGGCCCTTGAGGTATGACAACAACGATCAATTTGTGACTCATTTTAAAGACGAATTACAGTGAAGCGTGCCATCTGTAATGTGCTTGATTATTTGCTTAGTGAAGCGAGTTTGCTCATTTAGTAGACACGTGTTGGTTTAAATACACAGTGCACCACCTACAAAATAAACCTATCGCTGTGGGGGAAAGTGCTAGTTTGCGAGCACCTATTAAGGCCACAATTGCCAACATTCTGGCACATTTCTCTCCAATGTATACACCGCGTAGGAAATAACATACATTTTGGTGAATGGGGCCGAACAAAAAATAGGACTAACGAGGCTAAATGAAGGCAACATAAACGAGGCAATATAAAACAATAGATTATTTCATTGCATCACGGCCCACGAACATGGCAATTCGTCGATTGCCACGGGAGTAAATCATTTTAAAAGGAAGCAGCGTGCGATGGCATCACCACCGCCGTTGAGTGACACCAGTTGTAGAGTATACCCATTTCCTACTTCGCGACACTCACGTGGGTATATGCAACATCTACGTGTTTGCTGGACGCGCAGTCACATTTTGTGGCGATTACAATGTGGCAAAACTTTACGGCAAGGCCGTGGGTTTCGGGGGCCCATCAATCATTGCTCTTATGAAAATTCCGACTTGAAACGACGCGCCCACGAAGTTGGATCGTTGCTTCCGTGGTGGCTTTGCACCCCGTGGCCTGGTTGGACTGGCTCAACCAGTAAGCGAGTCAGCCGTTCTCTCCGATTGCTCGTGCACGGTCAGTGGAGTAACCGTGCGTGTGCGTGCGTGTGTGTCTGTGCGCGTGTGTGTGTGTCTGTGCGCGCGTGTGTGTGTCTGTGCGTGTGCGCGTGTGTGTGTGTCTGCGCACGTGTGTGTGTGTCTGTGCGCGTGTGTGTGTGTCTGTGCGTGTGCACGGATAAACGCGAGGGGCGGTCGAAAAGTTTTGGAAGACAGGACGGGAGGAGGTGTAATGATAAATAACTCACGCGTATTATTATAATTGAACCTCGCGGTTCAACCTCGCGGTTCAATTATCCAATAGAACAAAGGCTGGCGTGAATATGTCCCGTCGTGAATTCGTTTATTTTTTAAAAGTTGAATAAGAGCATAATAAAACATAAAAAAATAGGGTGTCAATACAAGATTAATGTTGGTTTGGCAAGACCTTTAGTTTCGTGTTGCAAAAAACACTTTTCGACCACTCGTGGGCATGTGTATGCACGTGGACTGTATACACACACTCACTCTGACCTCAGCTCATTCGCTAACATTTACCGTGTGTATAGTGGTGCAGGATGTTATTTTATGTAAATGCACAGCGGAGTATCACGTGTTAAGGTGAAAATCCATGGTCTAGCCACTGCTAGATGACATCCTGACCAAGCCGTAACCATATCTCGCAATGTAACAGTCCATTTGTCTCCCACGCACGGGGTAATTTCACCGCTCCATCTCTGCAGTCTGCAGGTGGCCTGCCTGGCGTTTCCTTTTGACTGCCTCTCCGTCATTCTAAATGTAAAAATCTGACATTGCACAAAATGCAGCGATTGCATGAATAACGCACAACACGATGATAATAATAATACTGGCGTGGTGATCAATACAGTAACTTAAATGACATTGACATTATACATCGTATCTCAATGAAAACGTGTGCAGATTCATTCTATTAAACGGAGGTCGGAGTTGTGTTAAAATCGCACAGTCTTAGAGGATGCGATATCTCCATGGAAATTTCAAAACGCGGCTCAAAGACCCATCGATCAGTCAGTACCGGATGCATTGAGCTAAATGATCATGACCTCTCTGGGTTGGAAATGGGATTTGGCAATTCAACCATAAAGTAGAGTGCAATGTCTTGTTCTAGTTGATGTAATTTTGGATTGAACCCCATGGGATTTCCCCTGGGATTTAAATATCGCTGGTGGCGCCCCATATAGTACGACTGTTCCAACTCCCTTAAACAGTCTGGCACAACTCGCGTTACTTCGCGAGGCCACGAATCTTGGCTCCCACTTTTGATTAGCAAAACAAGCAAGTACCTGCGCTTTCCCCTGGTGCACCGTGTGAGGACGCGGTCAATAAAGCGAATGGAATGATTGATGGTGCTCCACTCGCTTCCTTCCCCGTCCGATGCATTTGGCCCTCCGTACAGCACACGCGGGCGGAGGCAAGTTGCGCAGCCACAAAATTTGCTAATTAAAGCTCAGCTTAATTACCGGCGTTGTGTGTGGATGTTTTTTTTACCTTAGCTATTTTTTTTTGGCACGTAGAGCCACACAGATTTTGCAGGCGTGAGGTGGCTGATGATCCGAGCAAGTTTGGAAATCCAATAATGTCTTCGCACCTGTTCTTCTCATAGGTTAGGGCAGGGTTATCTCTCAAACTTTTCCTGGCCCACCACAGTGCATCTTTCCAAGTCTACTGCCGCCCACCAACCCCCTCGTGTGCCGTCCGGGCCTTCCATAGGTGCTCGTTAACAGCACTTGCCCCAACAATCTGTGAAGGTTATGAGGGGGATTTTTGTCTTTGTGTTATGCGAGACATGTAGAGAGCTCATTCTGATCAACTTTGACATCTCGAGCGTGTATGCGTGCCATACGGAGTGGTGGCGCAGTGCTTAGTGCTCGCCGCTACAACCCCGGTCACCTTGAGTTCGATTCGCGCGATAATTCTCGTGACCGGTCCTAGGCCTCCCCATAGGTCGACTGAGCCTTCAATAAGTACCTGGTGCAGTAAGCATCAGCTCTGGGGAGACAAATGCAGCCAGGTATGGTCATAGCCACACCACCACCCCCTCCATGAGTCGTGCCGGCCTTGATAGGTGCTCGCTAACAGCACTTGCCCCAACAGTCTGCGATGTCTATATGGGGGATCTTTTTCTTTGCGTCCTAGGTGATATAGAGAGGTGCATGCTCATGAATAAGCACCCTCGCTCGACGTGGGTCTGTTTAGCAATCATGTGGCATGTGCAGCGTGCAACGACCGAAATGGATCTTGAGAATAAGAGTAACTGCATTAGAGGGTGAAAGCACTGGCAGTTGAACTACAGTATTTGAATCAGTACTACAGTATTGTTGGTTCTTTCGGTAAAGTCACGTAGAAGGGAAGCAATCAAATAATAAATAAAATAATAGATGGACTCGTCCATCTGAACAAACTGTCAAATCTCTCTCCGTGGTGCTAACGTTAAAAAATAACCGCCACTTTTTTCACATTTTCCTGTTGTGGTTTTCACACCTGATTATGATTGCTTGTGTTGCAGTCGAAACGTCGTGATAATTTTATTGTTTTATATTTTTATTATTATATTATTGTTTCCCTTCTACGTGACTTTACCGAAAGAACCAATAATATGAATCCCTGCAGTCACGAAAGCTTTAAATAAAAATGTAGTACTACAGTAGTTTGGTATTTCTCCTATTTCATGTATACTGTATACTTAAACACAACTTCTTTCCTCCTTTACTACTGTTATATAAAGCCAACTATTCGTTATGGATGAGTTTCATTTTGCAAGTTGAGTATTAACCAATCGACTCAACTAGATGGCTTTAAGTTGCCTTTATCTGCGAGGTATGTTTTCCCAATTACAGAGGTACCTTCGTTTATTTTAAATGTTAAATGTCATTTATCAACTGATGGGTTTACAGTGCAATGCATTACTCTCTGTGTGTGTGAGTGCAAGTGTTTATTTTCCTTGCTCTATAATGACAGATGAACTTGGATGATGATCGTTTTCACACTAGTCGATCGAAAGTGACTTGCGTATAAGCGGTGAGCCATCTCTTCGGGAGTTGCTTTGTTTATTTTCGATTCACAGTTCTGCCCGGGCCGGGTTGGGCAGGGTTAAGCGGTTTTTAATCTTGCGAGCTACATTGCCGCAACGTATCGCTATCGATCTGATTTGTGTTGTTGGCATGGCAAGGTAGAGAGCAACAGCAACAACGACAAAAATAAGAGAAATTTGACAGCTGACTCTTCATATTAAAAACGTAGCCTCCCTCGCTCCCAGCAGGCTCGGGTCGAATCTGAGACCAAACCCTTCCACTCCGATTGTAAATGCTGGCATGGTTTTTTTTACCCCCCTCCCCCCTCCTCAAACTCTCCTCTGTTTTGATGAATATTGATCACGATCCGCTGGGTTGCCTGTGGTGCAGCCCTGTGCCCAGAGAATGCGCTGCTGCAAAATATTCAGGTCAGGTAACTGCGTGTGGTTTTTATTTATAGCAATATATAACTCCTAGCTGGTATACAATTAGTTAACCGCGGCGGGACGGTGGCGAGATGTTAATTACCTCGCCTGGTATACAGGAGGTCGTGGGTCCGATGCCGACCCTGACGCCTGCTGTATATTTGGAGTTTGCGTGTCTTTCTGCCCGTGGTTGCCTGGATTTTTCTCCGGGTCTTCCGGTTTCCCCCCCTCCCCCCCCCCCCACATTTAGAAACACGCGTTTAGAGTATTTTGCTGTTATGCATTTCCACGTGATAAGCCACTTTGTTGAGTTGTCATACGTGAACAGGCTGCTTCTGAAAAAGAGCTATAAAGCTAAGTGGGCTTTACCTCGTAAAATAAAATAAAAATTGTTTCATTTTAACTCTACGTCCCATTTAGTGTTGCCACTTACCCTAAGTTTCCCAGGATCCTTTTTTTTTAGGTAGTCGCTGCCCTGGGCAATCAGTCTTCCTGGGTAAAAAAAAAAAAGTCCCTGTTTTTGTCATTTGGGCATCACAATATTAACGACACGCTGTTTAAAACAATGCATTTCCAAGTAGTTCTCCCTTCGTCTACATGTGTCCTGGCTTTTTGTAGCTCAACGGTGGGAACCCTCCATCCATAATGAAAAACAAAGTGCCTCCTTGCTCAAACAACACATTTTTCTCTGGACTGATTTCTCTTGGCGGCCCTGAACCGATTACGAAAATGTCCACATTGTCAGAGCTGGGCCATCCTATTTCGATCATAACACTACCGTTGACTTCCCACACAAAGTCATACCTATTTTATCGACCCAGGAAGGAGGGATAATAATAGGCTAAATCGATCCTGATCGGTGATTTTAACTCTTAGACTTTCCAACTGTGAGCTGAGCTGCTGCTCAGCCTGCGTGACGATGGATATTTCTGTCCGTTCAAGAGAATAAAGCAGTTGCACAGAAATGCATCGTGTAACAAAAAAATAAACTTTGTGTGTCTCTCAAAAGTTCAGAATTTCCACAAAATTGCACAAGTGAGCTCATTTAAAGGAAAACAATATTGCCTGCCTTGCCACAGATTGAACAACAACTTATCTTAGATGCAATCGTGCCACTAGACGAATGAGAAAGAACAATAGGCCCCAGATTCCTCCATCATCCTAACCTCTAAACATGCAAACATTGCAGAAATTTGCATCCGTACGAAGGGGAGTTGCTAGTTTCACGCTCGCGATCGAGAAATGTCAGCAAAACAGTGTCTTTGCCAAAAATAATTAGCAATATTTGGGACAAAATTTATATATTGTTCGAATATGTTTTTGAATAATTAAGTAATTTGTGATTATACATGTGCACGCATACAAATTATTACCACTCTTGACTGTTATAAAGTTTGGGTTTATATGGAAAATGTCAACAATTGTATTTAATTTAAAAAATATTGTCATTTTAGTTTTTTTTATTGGCAGTCTTGCCAGAAATTGCGTGATAAAAATACGTGTAACTTTAGAGTGTGGTAATAAATAAATGTGTAACAGATGTTTTAAGGGACAATTGCCACACCTATTTTCCTGTGTTAAACACATTAATTTCTAAGTATTGGATGGGACATCAAAGCAAACTAATGAAAAGCGGACGATCCCATGAGTTGCTCATGAGTTGGTGAGTTGCTGACCGCATGGAATTTTGTAGACAAATCGCAGCGCTCGATCGGAATGTACTCTAGCAAATCTCAGTTTCCCCGTAACGTGACAACGATTGGCTGAAAAAGGATCACAGGGAGGTGTGTGTGTGTGCTAACGTTGAAACAAAGAGGCTGGGAGCTCTGCTTTGTTTTGCTTCGAAGTGCGCAGGAAAGTTGGCGCTCGCAACCGGCCACTGAACTTTTGCACTTTGTGAGTTGAATGACCCCCCGTTACCTTTGAGCGATAAAAAAATGTGGTGCTTCGCCACTTTCCCAATGACACCATTCGCGGCAGGACATGCCCCATGTCAAAGGGCAGGGGTGGCTCTTGAGTTGTTTCGCATTGAAAGTATTACCTTTGCTGGTTTCCGGATTTAAGAAAGACATAAGGGGCGGGCGAGGTTTATCGCGATTGTTTTTTTGTTTCGTATCGTGGACAAGAGATGCGCTGAGGCTTGTACTCATCTGCTTCTCAGCGTCCGGGCTTACTGTTGTTACATTGGCTATCATTGCCATCATCATGGTAGCGGAGGTATTGAGGATGGTGTACCTACAGAAGGGGAGCGATGGTGCAGCGGTTAGCGCGCTGCACTAAGAACCCAGTGAGCCGAGTTCGATTCCCTCTCGCGGCCAGCACCAGTGACGATTATCTGAACCGGTCCTGGGCCTCCCCTAGGTCGACTCGACCTCAAATGAATACCTGGTGCGGTGTGTAAGAATCGCCACTGGGGAGACAAAGGCGGCCGGGCGTGGTGTTGGCCACCCACCCCTTCGTGTGCCGTGCCGGCCTTCATAGGTGATTGCTAACAGCACTTACCCCAACAGTCTGTTAAGGCTATACGGTGGAATCTTTGTCTTTGTACATCGAGAAGTTAAACAAATATTGGAATGTGTTTGTTTTTTTATGGCAGCGGTTTCTTATCTGTAGAGGACCAACGCGTTGGGATGATGTTTTATCGTTACATCTTATTAAAGCTCTTCAAATTGAATTGAGGGACACTCACACACACACACAGACACGGTACTTAATAATAGTGTTAAGGTGTTTGGAGTAATGCTTCAGTGTTACTTGTTTTGTTACTTTATCCCTTAAATGGAAGGTTAATAACAGAGGTTTTAGCTCTTTAGAGGTGGGTGAGATGCATCTTTGCATGCCCTAGTACAGATGCAAGTTTGCATGAATATCTTTAGAAGGTCATCGTTTGAGACATGGTTAACCAACGTCATTGCACCTCATATATGTAAATAATGTAATCGTTATTTTGTTAAAGGGGGGGGAGGGTTCATAGTTCGGTTACACCATGGTACTATTTAACGGGGACGGCTACATGGTGAACTG